ATTTTAGTGCCGTTTAACAATTAATTATATACAAAATAAAAGTTTATATTTACATATGTGTGTACAGTGTATATACACCCACTGGCCACTTTATTAGGTACACCTGTCTTGTTAACACTCATTTCTACTCAATCACATGGCAGCAACTGGTCTGATGAGTCTTAATTTCTGCTGCGACATTTGAATGGTCGGGTCAAAATTTGGCATGAACAACATGAAAGCATGGATCCATCCTGCCTTGCATCAACAGTTCAGGCTGCTGCTGGTGGTGTAATTGTGTGGGGAATATTTTCTTGGCACACTTTGAGCCTATTAGTACCTATTTAGCATTGTGTCAACCCGAGCATTGTTGCTGACCATGTCCATCCCTTTATGACCACAGTGTCTCCATCTCCTCATGGCTACTTCCAGCAGGATAACACACAATGTCATAAAGCGTGAATCATCTCAGACTGGTTTCTTGAACATGATAATGAGTTCACTGTACTCAAATGGCCTCCGAAGTTACCAGACCTCAATCCAATAGAGCAGCTTTGGGATGTGGTGGAACGGGAGATTGGCATCATGAATGTGCAGCCGACAAATATGCAGCAACTGTGTGATGCTATCATGTCAATATGGAGGAAATCTCTGAGGAATATTTCCAGTGCCTTGTTGAATCTCTGCCACGAAGGATTAAGGCAGTTCTGAATGCAAAAGAGGGTCCAACCCAGTACTAGTAAGGTGTACCTAATAAAGTGGCCGGTGAGTGTATAAATGCAAACAAATACATGTATATACACTTGAAATATTAACATAATATTTGTAATTTTATACATTTGTTAGATATATTCCAATATAAATTGTTTGTGTACTGTATATATTTATTACGTATATGCAAATTTTAATTAATGCCATTTCAGCAACCAAGGCTATATTCATGGCAAGGACATTTCAATAATAATAATGCAATTAAAAACAAACAAATTAATACATAAATTAAATACGACTTTTAGCATTAATACATGATTAACAAATGTACATTTTACAGTTTTTGTTAAAACGGTCTATTTTACATGCAATTAAGAGTTTAAACAGCACTAATATGCGGATGTGTAAGTGAGATTTGGAAGCTTTAAAATCAACATAAATCAGTAAATAAATTAATTTCTGTTCCTAAAACAAATGCATCACATCCCATTATTGAGATCTGGAATACAGTGCAAAGGATTAAATTGATGCTTTATTGCATTGTGGCTTTTAAATGAAAATATTTCTGCAGATGCATGCACTTGTGTTCATCTCACCACGATCAGCAGGTCAGCGTGAGTCCCAGCAAACACTGTAATATCCATCGGCACTCGTACACTGTAGGGTTTGTTCAGACGCACCCCAAAATTCCTCTCTCCGCTTAACAGCAACAAAATAAACACGCCGATATGCACCAGACCGACACGTGCTGCAAACAGACACACAAGCACACTGACAGATATCTCTTCTATATTCCTAACAATAGGACATGATTAAAAACACTCAAATAATCAATACTTGATCAGAGCAATAGGATAGGAGAAATATGCATTTATTTCATATCATTTAAGTAAAGTGTTTCAAAGTGAAAGAGATATGGAGGTTAAAATATTGACCATATTCTCAGCGTACGAGAAGGCGCAGCAATTTGACTATTTTTGGCTTGAGACTTCTGGTCCCATTCACTTTCATTCATGTTTAAACATTAAAAACAGCTCGTTCTGCTGCTTGATGTTGCAAACTGATATTTATTCATTCTTCAGCTTAGTCTATTTATTCATCAGGGGTCACCACAGCGGAATGAACCACCAACTTATCTATATGTTTTACACAGCGGATGCCCTTCCCAGGTACTGGGAAACCTCCATACACACTCATATACTATGGGCAATTTAGTTTACCCAATTACCCTACAGTGCATGTGTTTGGACTATGGGGGAAACCGGAGCACCTGGAGGAAACCCAGGCCAACACGGGGAGAACATGCAAACTCCACACACAGAAGCACCAATGGACCCAGCCAGTACTCGAACCAGCAACCTTCTTGCTGTGAGGTACCCACTGAGCCAGAGTGTCACCACAAACTGATATTTTCTTATTATATTATTCTACTTTTTATGTACAGTCATGAACATGAGCAAGTAGTTTGACTTTTCTGCGGTTTATAATTTTGATTCATATCTCCCATAGACAAGTTAAAACAAATCGCAAAAACAAACGCACTTCTGTAACGCAGAATAAGGTCAATACAGTATTAGTGATGGATCGTTCTTGAACGATTCGTTCATTTTGAACGAATCTTTAATAAGACTCGGGAACTACGAGTCCTCTCAGGGAGTGATTCGTTCATCCGCGCGTGCGCACATTTGTGCAGGTGGTATCGTTCATTTCAAGTCTTTTGAGTCGTTCATCATGGAAAGGCAGAAGCTAATCATTTGCGTTTAGAGTCGGAAAAAGAATTGATCCGTTCACCTCTCGAGTCCTCGATCGGGTTTGAGTCATTCTGTCACGTGATGAACGAACCCCTCAAGAACCAGAAGACTCGAAAGATAAACTAATTATCATGACTCCTATCGACTAAGACTGTGTACATTGGTTAAGATTATATGTGACTGTCAGTGTAACGTGAGCGAATCACTGACATTTGAAGACATGAAGAGGTGAGCTGAGCAAAGAGACAACAAAACCTTCATAGACAACAGAGCAGGTAAACACTGAATTATTATGTTCTCCTTCTTAAAGTATTCTATCGATGACTTATTTGTCATGTGATCAACCTTTTGGGCTAGTTGTAGATGTGTTTGGAAGCAATTCATAACATTTTAATAATATTTTGGCAAATTGAACCGAATGAGCGAAATGACTCGGATCTTTGAGTCTCGTTCATCGAGATGAATGAATCTTTTTTCGAGTCAGTGAAATGATCCGAACTTCCCATCACTATACAGTATGGGTGAATTTATTTAACATGTAACACTGAATCCTCCAGACACTCACACTGATTTGCACGAGCATCATTCAGATAGAAGAGGACGGGTACCAGAATATCCAGCACATCACTGCTCTTCAACACGTAGAACAGAAACTTCTGGAACACAGACATGAAGAAATATATAAACTGATATAACAGATATAAACACAGTTAAATTAATTTTAAATATGTTATATAAGGTAACATTTATAAAATACAATAAGCATATAAAAATAAGTAAATGTCATTTATTTAAGAATAAAAAAAAAAATATACAATTTATTTACTGCTTAATTTGTGAATTATGATGTCTCGGAACAGATCGGGGTAACGGATCCGACAAGTTACCCTAGGATGAAGAGGTATCACGTACGAAAGTGGAGAATGGGGGTGGGGGGATTGGTGGTTGGTGCGGTGGATGGCAGAAGGGTGTCGCAGACTAAAGTGAGCGGAGCGGGGGTGCCGCAGACGAAAGTGACGAGGGTTGGGGAGTCGCGGAAGAAAGTAAAGGTGAACAGCGAACACGGGAGGAGAGGGATAGGTAAAATGAGGTGCCGGATCAGATTTCAAAGGTGCCGAATCCAGATCCGGCGTGTTCCAGCACAAATTAAGCCCTGCATTTACTATGAACATTTGTTAAATTATATGCACAATTGAATGCAAAATTAATCGCCTTCCTGAGCAATATTAATTTTTTTTCAAATATTTCCCAAATGATGTTTAACAGATTCAGGAATTTTTCACAGTATGTCTGATAATATTTTTTCTTCTGGAGAAAGTCTTATTTGTTTTATTTCGGCTAGGATAAAAGCAGTTTTTAATTTTATTATACCTATTTTAGGGTCAATATTATTAAGCAATATTAAGCAATTTTAAGTCTTGGATTGGCTACAGGACAAACCACTGTTATACAATGACTTGCCTAATTAACCAAGTTAACCTAATTAACTGGGTTAAGCCATTAAGCTGCGCTTTAGGCTAAATACTACTATCTATAGTATCTTAAATTGTACAATAACAATAATAATAATAGTAATAATAATAAATTTGATTCATGATGCGCTTTTCCTAAACTCAAAGTGCTACAAGATATACAATAACACATAAGAAGTCAAAAGTCAAACAGCAATAATAAAACAATAAAGAACAATAAATAAATGTGTAAATAAAGATGTTACAAATAGCATAAATGTGACAATAATAATCACAAATTAAATCAATTGCAGTAGAGCAATTTACAAAAATGTAGATTTGTTACTCTTATACTATCTTTTTAAATTTATTTTAAACTATTTTTAAGGTCAATATTATATATATATATATAATTATTATGCCCCCCTTAAGCAATATTTGTTTTGGATAATCTCCAGAACAAACCACTATTATACAATAACTTGCCTAATTACCCTAACTTTTCCTTAATTAACCTAGTTAAGCCTTTAAATGTCACATTAAGCTGAATACTAGCATCTTGAAGAATATAGTCTAATATTATGTGCTGTAATCATGGAAAAGAGAAAAGAAATTAGTTATTAAAACTATTATGAGCTAAAACGTGTCTTCTCTCCATAAAACAGAACATGAGGAAAAATATACAGAATTAAAATGTAAGATATACACACCTTGTTGAGGTCACAGAGTTTCCAGAAGAGAACCAGCAGCTCTTGATGAAACTGGATCTTTTTGCAGGAATGGGGCAGGTATGTTTGCATCAGAGGGTTATTGAGCAGCCGGCTGATCCCTCGCAAGATGAAGTTAAAATCCTACAGGAAAATAAAAATAAAAATGCATTTAGAAACGCATGCATCACTCAAAGAGCAGGATTAGATGGTTTTAAACCTGATTCAGCATGCATGTGTTGTGTTTAAGCGTCTCACCTCTTCTCTGTGAATTCGAGACAGGTAGTTTACGAACAGATTTTCACCTCTTGAGGTCTGAAACGATAAGGAAAGAAATCTGATATTCAAGTTCAGCATTCTTGACAATCGCTTTTCTATTTTAAATGCATTAAAATATTCTGCCTTTCACTCATAATACCAGATGACTTTTATTCAGTCGTTTAATTTAGCTTAGATTCTGATTTACCAGAGGTCGCCACAGCACAATGAATCGCCTAATCACTACTCCAGCATATGTTTGACACAGCGGATGCCCTTCCAGTCACAACACAGTAATTGGAAACAACCATACACACACTCATCCACTATGGCCAACTTAGTTCATCAATTCCCCTATAGTGCATGTCTCTGGACTGTGGGGAAAACCATAGCACCCGGAGGAAACCCACGCCAACACAGGGAGAACATGCAAACTCCACAAAAAAATGCCAACTGCTGTAAAGCCACAGTGCTAACTAGAGAGCCACCGTGCCACCCAGATACCTTTTATGGAAACAATCACAATGTTTTTCAGCACTAAATCCAACAAAAATGCATGTTTTATTTAGATTTACTATGAATTACTTGTGCTTACAGGATAAGTTTGAGCATGTATCATTGCATTTAACACCTCTTTGTATTAAAACATTCATTCATTCATTCATTCATTCATTTTCTTTCCTGCTTTAGTCCCTTTATTAATCTGGGGTCGCCACAGCGGAATGTACCACCAACTTATCCAGCACATTTTTTACGCAGCAGATGCCCTTCCAGCCGCAACACATCTCTGGGAAACATCCACACACACTCATTCACACTTTTAGCCTACCCAATTCACCTGTACCGCATGTCTTTTGGAAATTGGAGCACCCGGAGGAAAACCCACGTGAACGCAGGGAGAACATGCAAACTCCACACAGAAACGCCAACTGAGCCAGCTGAGGCTCGAGCCAGCTGAGGCTCGAACCAGCAACCTTCTTGCTGTGAGGCGACAGCACTACCTACTGCGCCACTGCGTCGCCTTGCATTAAAACACTCACTTTTAAAGTAGTTAATTTATTAATTAATCATTAAATTAATATTTTTTATGAATTTCTCAGTTAATAAAATGTTATATATTTTGGTGTATTTAAACAAAAACAAATTATTAAACAGATAAAAATAGTATTTTTTTCACCAAACATATTTCAAAAAATTTACAAACCACAAAATTGTATATATATAAATATAATTGTTTTTCTTTATTTTCCTTTTTTTTTTCTACATCTGTATTTAATATTTTTCCTAACATACACATTTGGGCTACTAACAGCCCCGTGCATCCAAGGGGCATGTGCAGGATTGTCGCGTGTCAAATGAAGACGGGGGGGGGGGGGGGGGGGGGGGAAGTCGCGCGTGAGCTATAGGGGGGAGGAGGGGGGTGGGTATGTCGCGCAAGAACAGAAGATTGGGGGTGGTGATGGGGGGGCGGGTGTCGCTGGGGCCCTTCAGATCATTTTGGAAGGGCACCTTCTATCCAAGACTAAAAAGGGCATGTGCACTGCACTGCACATGTTGAGCCCTGTGTGCACATGCCTGGCTACTAATATTTAAAGATTGTACTAATACTCCAGATTTGGCTTCAGTACTGACTAATGTAATGTATATGCACAAATATAATATTGTAAAGCATCTTATTATATAGAAAATATTCATTTAAAAAGAGCAATGTCACTTATTTATGCTGAGCACTGTAACTGCACGATGCGGTATAATGTCCAACACACCATTTTTTACCAGTGTATTTCACACAGAGGACATTCAGAATTGATTCAAGAGAAAATAGCAATGCATTTGTCGTTGTACAAATCTCAGAATTGATTTCTTGAACAACAGCACTAACACACAGATGTGTGAGTGAGATTTGGGAGCTTTAAAATCAACTCAAATCAGTGAATAAATTAATTTCTGTTCCTAAAACAAGTCTATCACACCACATTCATCCAGATCTGGAATAGAGTGCAATAATTCATTAATTCATTCATTTTTCTTTGGCTTAGTCCCTTATTGATCAGGTGCTGCCACAGCAGAATGAACCGCCAACTATTCCAGCAAACGTTTCATGCAGTGGATGCCCTTCCAGCCACAACAAAGTACTGGGAAACACCCATACAATACGGCCAATTTAGTTAATCCAATTCTTCTATAGCGCATGTGTTTGGACTATGGGGGAAACCGGAACACCTGGAGAAAATCCGCATCAACACGGGGAGAACATGCAAACTCCACACAGAAACACCAACTGACCCAGCTGGGAGTAGAACCAGTGACCTTCTTGCTGTGTGGCCACAGTGCTAACCACTGAGCCACCGTGCTTGCACAATGCAATAATAGAGACATTCTTTTAGCAAGTAATGTTTTCAGAACTTGATAAACATTGGTGATTAGGAAAATTGGTGAACATTGGAAAAGCATTGGTAGACTTGTATTGTTACCGGGCATGCTTCAGTAGTGTTGTTCCTGTTGTAATCAGTGTCAGCAGTGGTGTGTGTGTTGGGGTGTGTGTCGTTGAGCTCCTGCTCCAGTGAAATGATCAGTGTTTGCAGTGCCAGCTCTGCCAGCTCGCCTCGCTGGTCAGAAAACATCAGGTGATTGTACGGGACGCCGTAGCCGATAGGGTCATATGCACAAACCACATTCAGAAGAGAAGTGAAGAGCGGGAGTGCATGTCTGAAACAGAGAGAGAGAGAGAGGAAAACTTATATCCCTTTCTATCTTTTATTGTTGTTATTTCTTTCAATATTATTGTTATTGCTACTATTATTTACATTGACTTTTTTTACCCCCTGCTATGTACACTTATGTACCCATGTATGTCATGCCAATTAAGTAAATTTAATTGAAACCTGATGTGGTGTAATCTGCTAAACAAACGAACAAGTAAAAATAAAGCGCATGTGTGTTTACCTGTTTTCTCTGGAGCAAAAGAACGAGACCCAAGGGTTGAGAGTGTGTGTGTCTGATGGAGACTGGTACATCTCTTCTGAGAAACAGGTCAACAAGAGCTTCAGCAATTCTGTCCTGAGAGAGAAAGAGAGATTAAAGTGTGATTAATTAACGCACAGTTTATTTTGATTCATTGTGATCTATAATTTTTTTATTACATCTATTTACAGTGTTTACTGTATATAGATATGTTCTTTTCAATGTAAATTTCTAAATGCTTTAGCAATACATTTGTATCATTTTTATGCTAATAAAACCATTTTTAAAAACCATTATTATTATTATTTATTATAATTTTTATAGGTAGGTAGGTAGGTAGGTAGGTAGATATAGGATTAATCGAATCCAAAATAAAAGTTTGTTTTCCCATAACGTGTGTACTGTGTATATTTATTATGCATTTATAAATACACACATGCATGCATATATTTAAGAAAATGTTTATTTATATTTAGATATCAAATGTGTATGATACAAATACAAAAAGTAAAATTTCCATGTAACAAATTTGTTTTGTATAATTTTGTTTCTATGCATGTGCATGCACAGCAAATTTTAGATAGTAGATTTAACTACCTTGGAGTTAAAATTAACACTCCCTCAGAGTTTATATGGGAACCACTATAAGTGTTAAAAATAACACTTTTGAAAGTGTTAACATTGTCAACACCAAGAGAGTGTTAATTAGCAAACTCTTGTTGTGTAAAATATCTGTTCAATTTCCGAAAAAATACCAGCAGCTGTGGCTGCCAGAATCTTTTTGTGAAAAACATGGAAGTTTTATATAACTGTATAAATTTACAAAAAATAACCATATTTCATGAACTAATACATTGTTCATTTTACAAAATCATAGCTTAGTGCAAAAAAATGTAAAGTCTTTAGATGCAATAATGTTTTCATGTGTGATTGCAAGTAGCAAACAGATTTTGACTGCATTAGTAACTACACAGTTACCTTTATACAAAAGAAGATACAGCATAACATCAAATTTTCTTAGTTCATCTTGGACTTGAACAGAGACGCTATTATCCTCCACAATGGTGACACAAAAACCGTTTTGCTGTTTTTCTTTCTTTTTTTTTCATTTTTAGATTTTACGGAAAAATACCAGCAGCTGTGGTTGCCAGTAATCTGCTGTTTTTAACATTCATAAATTCAGTTTACAGAACATTTCTGTTAAAAGCACATTCAACAGTCTGTATTTTTTATCGATCTCACACTGCAAATTTTAGATTTGGTAGATTTAACTACCTTAGAGTTAAAATTAACACTCCCTCAGTGTTTATATGGGAACCACTATAAGTGTTAAAATAACATTTTTGAAAGTGTTAAAATTTTTAACACCCAGAGTGTTAATTAGCAAACTCTTATTGTGTAAAATATCTGTTAAATGTATGTCAAAATACTGGCAGCAGTGGTTGCCAGTAATCTGCTGTTTTCAACATTTTAGATTCGTAAATTCAGTTTCCAGAATATTTCTGTTAAAAACAAATCCCATAGTCTGTATTTTTCATTCGAACACACTTAAGCCTTAAATTCCAGAGCAAAATCCTCACTAGTGTCCTCACTACAGAGGGCTGATCACTCAGACAGTGATGAAGTTAATGAGACGATTAAGTGTCTAATTAAAGGAGGATTGAGAATTGTTGATGAACAACTGTTAACAAGCAGAATCACTGAAGGACAGAAAAACACAAGCTAAAACCAAAGATGAAATCAACTGAAAAAAAAAAACTCTAAATAAAATAATAATCAATAAAAATAAAACAAATTACACAATAAAAAATGTTATTTTTCAACATCTTTAAAAAAAAAACCTCATCAAATTAAACAACTTATCATGGAGCTTCACCTATTACTGACCAGTGACTTTATTTCTGTCATGTGAACAAAAGCTCTTAATAAAATTTCTGTTGTTCATTTGAAGTCACCATGATGGAGGACAGAGTCTGCTTTAGTCAGCGTCTTCAACTTCTTACTATAAATGTCTTTTATTTTGGCTGCTATAGAAAGTGTTAATTACATTATTTATACATATAGCATGGAAAGCCGAAAGAAAATTAAAGTGTCAGTCTGAAGAGATTATTAATGATAACATAGCCTTCCTTTCCTGCTTGATTTCTAATTCAATATCATATTAGTTGTGTGTGAGAAATAAATGATATACATAAATGAAACCACTGAAGCTCCAATAAAATAAAAACAATATTTACAATGAGAATGTTTGATCTATGGCAGAACTTAAAAACACACAGACATCAATAATTAGTCTTTGAATCTCAATGATGGTGACAAACAAAAAAATAAAAATCAAGTAAAAAAAAACCACTACTGAAATATCACCTCCCAAAAACAACACAAAATAAAGGAAAAGAAAGAGATTGTAAGAACATAAAGCTTCATAATTTATTCATGCTGCAATGCATGCTGGGAGCTTTGTACTATGCTGGCACCCAGCATGCATTGCGGCATGAACTATGCAGCTTTTTTTTTTTTTTAGCAACCACGGTTGAGGTTCATATCCTGATTCTTGATGTCTGTGTGTCATAAAGAGCAAGCTGGAGCTTGAATGTTTAGTGCATGACACTCTAATTATTAATTGCATCCTAATTGTTTGTTGAATTTTCTATGAAGAGCAGCAGACTGCCAGTAGTATTGTCCCATGCAGCTTTAATACAACTATATTTGCATATTTTTATGAATCAACTTAATAAACACCTGAAATTATATCTATAACAATTAACCATAAACAGTATAGTTTCTCTGGACCTTTCTTGCTATAGCTAATGAGTTTTAGAAACACGGCTATAGCAGTCAGAGAAACATTAGGATATAAGAGTAAAGCTTCAAGAACTCAAATAAGCAGCCTCTGATCTCTATGATGGTGAGGTCAAATGAAATATTTTTAATAAAAAAAATAACCTCTGTTCATTGTCAAATATTCTTACAGAAATTAAGTCAAACTGTAATCAGTGAAGCTGCTTATGCTATTATTTAATGGAGTTGTTTAATTCTCTGTTTTAATTCAGTTGGTTTGGTGTGAGGCTGTGTCTGTAGATTTCTTTCTTTCTTCAATTTCTTATTCCTTCAGTGATTGTGCTTGTTAACAGCAGGTGTTCAACAGCAGGTGTCTGAATTCACTTATTTGTGGTCATTCACTCTGTCTAGTGGACTAAACTGCCTAATTTAAGGGCCAGGTGAATGAGGGTGTGGCGAGATTTCAGACACTCTGATTAGTTTCTCAAATATAAGGGTTTTCTACAAAGGTAGATACATGTTACTCTGTGTGACAAGGAGGTAAATCAGCTTCTAACGCTGAGAGGGTTATTTTACCTTTATCTAACTCTAGAATTTTAACACTTTACTCTGAATTACCACAACACTTGTAATTTAACACCAATGAATTTGCTGTGTGTATCACATATACAAAATACTTTATATAATACACACGCACGCGCGCACACACACACACACACACGCGCGCACGCACGCGCGCACGCACGCACGCACGCGCGCGCACACACACACACACACACACACACACACACATATACATACATATATGTATATATATATATATATATATATATATATATATATATATATATATATATATATATATATATATATATATATATATATATATATATATAAGTAAGAAACTCAAAAAGGTTTATCAAAGTGTGGTGAATTTAATGCGAGCAAAACCATTTTTTGTGTGAACTGTCCATTTAAGAGATAAAGCTTCTCTGCCATTGTTTTATGGCATTCTTTTTTGTCAGAATATTGTACTTTTGATGTGACCTATCTGCATTCAAGTGGTGATGAAACACAAATACACGAAGATAGACTAGAATGTTTGTTTTTTGTTTAAAAGCAGAGGTTTTGGTTCTTTATTTTGGATATATTCATAGCATAAAATATTCTAAGAGCTGTCAAATTTAAGTAAAAATCATCCAAAATGCTGGGAGTGGGTAGAACCTTATTGTTTTTTAAAATGTTTTTGGAAAAAGAGTTAATAAAAACAAATTTATGGTGAGCTTACGGGTCTACTTTAAACACCAAAAATATCGTAATTCCAGATTTTGGTTCAGTAGTGTAGTGTAGTGTGTATCTGAACAAATATCCTTATTAACAGTGTACATATGTGTTGAGTGATCGGATTACAAAAGGTTTTGAAGCTCATTCACTCTTCTAGTTAATGCTGTTAACTTGAACTTTTCACCCAGAAGAAATGCTCAGAGAGTGCAGTGATGTCACTAGGAGTGGGGCAGTTTGAAGTGGGAGGAGTTGCAGTGTTAAGTGGGCGGGGCTCTGACCTGTTGGAGTCATGGGAATAGTTGAGAGGCGGAGTCTGAGCAAATCCAACGCCAGCTTCCCAGATGAACTCACAGCTGTCAATGGACTGGATATCAATATCCTGAACACATACACACAGACGTTAACAGGTTCTTAAAAATGACAGAAACATTAAAAAATACCTAATTTTGAAATAAACCAAGACACTGTTGCATTTACAAATTGCATTTGTGTAGTTTATATGAAAAAGACAATGATATATTTCTCAAATTTGAAACCCGTTTTCAAAAAATGCAATGAAATTGTATGAGCAAACTACACATTGCTTTAGCTCATTCTTCCCTCCAGTGTACGGTTATAATTTTTTGCAATATATAAAATTATAAATATTGTGTTGTTTTTACCCAACACCGAGACAAATATTGACAAGCCCAATGTTGGATATTATTTTGAATTAAATCTAAATTACACATTATAAACCAATGGTTGGGTTTGTCCATATTTTAAACAGAAACTTATGATACATGGTGAAAAAATCTGTTAAAGGCAACAGTTTCCATATTTATTAATTCACAGGTGTTTTGTTTATTTATGGTTGTAAATTGCATTATGGGACGTTAATCTCTGCTCTGTCGACTTCTGATGTTGAAAATTCAGGAAAGACTTTATTTTAATGGTTGCTATTGCATATTTGGTCTAAAAGTTTCATAGCATTTACATGCCATTTATTTCTCATTTCCATATCAGTAGACTGTCTATTTATTATCCGTTGATACTGCTCCTTCAACAGAAATTTAACTGACTATAAGAAACTTTGTAAACTTACACCAGGGGTCACCAATCTCCGTCCTGGAGGGCCGGTGTCCCTGCAGGGTTTAGCTCCAACTTGCCTCAACACACCTGATTGGATGTTTCAAGTATACCTAGCAAGACCTTGATTAGCTTTTCAGGTGTGTTTTATTAGGGTTGGAGCTAAAATATGCAGGACACCGGCCCTCCAGGAACAAGTTTGGTGACCCCTGACTTACACTAACCCCAATCTAACAGTCTACTTAAAATGTAATGAGAATTAGTTGGCATGTAGATGCAATGTAACAACGCAATGCGTTAAAGGGACCATCAAAATAAAGTGATACCAAAAATTCAACTCTACAGTTAAACAAAGTCACTTTTATCGACATTTTAGTAGTTTCAAATAATATATTGTATTAGAAATATAGAGAAATAAGTCTGTACTGATGTACTGAACAATGTACTGGTGGTTTATAACAAGGTGTTTGTAGGGTAATATACAACTCCAATCCAGACAATATAGCACTGCATACTATTACAGGTTCATAAAAGTCCCTTTTCCCAACTTTTCAAGGTTAAACGATGTTGGAAGAAAGATCGAGATCCCATAATGCAATTCAAAAGCAGAAATAAATGGGGAAAAATAAAAACATTAATCGCTAAATATGGAAAACTGCTAATTTACGGATATTTTTGACCGTGTAGTCACTATTCAAGCATGTGGATTGTGTTCAAATTAAGCAATGATGAGCATGTGCAAAACTCCACAGAGCAGTAACGATGGAGAGTCAGAGAGAGTTACCGCACTGGTCTTGAAGTTGCTTTCAACTGTGAAATCTGGACAGAAAAGCAGATCTGAAACAGCAGAGAGGAGAGACTCCGCCAGGGGCCGTGTGCACTCCTCTTCACCTTCATCCTGACACACACACACACAAACACAGTATTTAGTCAACTGCTGTTATTACAAAAGTTAAACTGCAGTCTAACAGAATTTACTTCAATCTGTGATCTTGGTCATTCAGAGGTGAATCAGATGGCTGACTGGATGATTTTGTTTTATTTTTTTATTTAAATGAAAATAGCTATACACAAACACACACAGCAAATCTGTCATGTTTTTAATCTTCACAGCAGTAAATTCATGATTGATGTTTTTTTTTTGTCAAATCATGCAAACACAATCTGAGATTTAAAGTTGGTTTCTTAGTAGTGTTTTAGTGTTTTTCAGAAGAGCTTCATACACACATCAATGCACTCATTCAGTTTCCTTCATGTCTTTAAATCGCAGGATATTTAATACACTCTCGTTCTTTGAGAAAACCACAATCAGAGGAGTGTTCAGGCCGGTAACAGGAGAACATAAAAATGCACCGGAGAACAAAATCTCTCTCTCCCTCCCACTAAGTCAGACACACACACACAACCCACACACAAGCATATACACACAGGGCTCTATTTACAATCTAGGCGCATAGTCTAAAGCACATGGGGCAAAAGTATTAAAGGAGTGCCTGAACCTACTTTTGCCATTTTAAGAATGGATAAATATGCTCTGTGCCTGGTGCATGTTCTAACAGTGTTGAGCTTATTCTCTTAATGAGTTCTGAGTTTGTTTTGAGCATAACATGCATTAAACCAATCAGAGTCTCATCTTACACTCCCTTTAAGAGTCAGTTGTGTCGTGCCATGGTGCATTTAATTACATGGCAGAAACTTGTAAGTGTAAAAACTGAACACTTCACTAGCGAGAAAAAAGTTAGAGCATCTGCAGCGTGAGAATAAAGAACGAGCCTCCTCCATTCAGCCTCTTTACTTTCTCTTTACTTTACTCCTTTCCTTTCGTGGATAAGGAAACGGTCTTGTACCCACTCCACTGAAGACATCCATTAGCCGACATGTTTAATTTAATTTGTTAAGCACAAAGATTTGTATCAATACTAATTCTAAATTCAGTTCTAATTTACAGCAAAGGAATTAACCAGTTAAACTCTGCTGTTATTTTGGGATTTCCGCCTGGATTCTGCCAACCCAAATTTAAAAGCTTCCCAAATCCACATGCAGAGGTGTAAATGCAAAAATTTGGTATCACTTTAAAGAAAACCCTTTAAATTTTCATGAAACTGAATTGAAAGTGTTTAAAATAACTGTATATGTTGTCTGTGTTATAATACACACCTAAAAAAAAGAGGCGCTTTTAGTATATTTTTGTATAAACTCAAATGTGAAAGTGTACCTTTTAGGTTGTGTGTGCTCTAGCGTGCTGTAATTAATTTTGGTGGTTCCTGCACATGTCTGTAATCATAGGAAAAAGAAAAATGTCTCCACCATAATCTATGCAAAAGTTATTGTATTCCAACTGATGAGAAGTGCTGTACAAGCCACAAGGAGCGATCATTGATTTCATTATTCTTTTGTTTGATCAAACATAATTCACTGTGTTTGGAGCATGTCAGACATATAAAAGTATTACTTTTGCACATCACCTCAAAAACAGAGGAGAATGGCCCTGAAGCGCACAGCATAAGGTAAGAGAGGACAGCTGTCTGTGCTATCTGGGGCTGCTTATTGATCATAAATGTATTGTTTTCACTTCTGCGCCATGGAAACACCGCGATTCATTCAGCAACTGTTTGATATGTGAATATAATTCAGTAAAAAGAATGCTAGAACTGTATGAGCACCGGCAAGAGCTTTCATTTGAGCTATAACTTGTACATGTGTCATATGAAAAATATGAAAATGAACCAGCTCGGGTCTCCAAATATACTGTGTATTTAAGTGTAAATAACTTTTGTACAATAGAATAAAAACTGAAGTGCAGCATATGTGCATAAAATATAGATTCTACACTTTCTCACTTTTGGGGGTCTGGTGCAATGCTAGCCCTTTAAATCTTAAAGCGAAAGTCCATGACATCACGGACCCGGTACCGGGTCTGCAGTGTTTAACTAGCTAATAATGAAGTGTGGTCAAAAAACTGAGTTATATCCAAACACAAGTCCTTTTCTTATGCCCCATATGGTGATGCAGACGTCGGCAGACGAATCTAAACTTGCGTTTATGAAAACAAAAATAAATCTGCAGACAGTAAATACTACTACTGCTACTACTACTACTACTAATAATAATAATATACAAAAGCAAATTGTTATGATTAAACTGAATAAGCTGCCCGAGATGAGGCATGGAAGCAGTGGTTTTTATATTTCTGTAGAAAATAATAGTTTGTGTAATGTTTTAATCCTTTAATTGTTTCCATCTGTAAAGATAGTGGTGTATTGCTGCACATCCTGTGTGTATTAAGCTATGTGTAAGCATTTAGACCAGCATAGATGCATAACTAATGCTCTCTGCTGGACTTTAGAGAGCCTCTTAGTTGATAAATGTCGCTATTTCAGCTCCTCAATATAGCAACACGCCAGCAATGCGCCTTAACACACCTCTGGCACACCCACGAGTCCACAAAGTTGCAAAAATGGATTTACTATTTAAATAACGTGGTGCAAAACGGGAAAATGATTGTTGCGCTGGTCTGAAAATAGTAACAAATCAAACCAAACACGTCTTGTGCCTTATTGCGCTGGGTGTATGATAGGGCCCGCAGTTTATATTAGTGTTTATTCAACTACAGATGAGGCAGGAGTTTTCCTGACCATTCATTCATTCATTTTCTTGTTGGCTCATTCCCTTTATTAATTCGGGGTCGCCACATCGGAATGAACCGCCAACTTATCCACCACGTTTTTACGCAGCGGATACCCTTCCAGCCGCAACCCATCTCTGGGAAACATCCACACACACACACACTCATACACTACGGACAATTTAGCCTATCCAATTCACCTGTACCGCATGTCTTTGAACTGTGGGGGAAACCGGAGCACCCGGAGGAAAGCAGGGAGATCATGCAAACTCCACACAGAAATGCCAACTGAGCCGAGGCTCGAACCAGCGACCTTCTTGCTGTGAGGCGACAGCACTACCTACTGCGCCACTGCATCACCCACATTTTCCTGACCACACAAAAGTATTTTCCTCACCACAGATTTGCCCAGTTTTGGCACAGTGGACCAGAAGAACCCATGCCAGTCTGGATCCTCAAAGATGTACGGCAGAATCCGAGTCAACAGGCGAGTGCAGATCAGAACGGTCTGTCTGTCTCGCTCACACACACAACCTGTGTCTGCATTCAACACCAGCCTTTCCACTGCCTGCAAAACACACAGACATTCAAGTGAAACATATTAATTGATGTAAATGTCATGAACGCTACATATAACTTCGATGGAAAACAACATCAAAATATCCTGAATAATTGTTTTCAGATAAAAAACAACAACATTAATTTACATGCATTAACTTACATTTTTAGACTTATATTTTAATATCATTTATTCACCCTTGTACTTGTTCAAAAAAACTTTTATAACTTAAATTATTAGGATATTTTTTACAACTTTTGACCAATTTTTGGGGCATTTTACAAATGGTGTTTTTATGAATATGCATGCATATTTATCAACACCAAATGGCTGATCTATACTTCTAGAAGTTTTTACTGAAGGTTGCAAACTCGAATGTAATAACATTTTAAATTTAATTTAACATTTTTTAGTTTTATAGACTGCACATTTTTAAATTCAAAAGGATATTTCACCCAAAAAAAGCTAATTCTGTCACCATTTACTCACTCTTGTTAAAAACATTTATATAACTTATATTTTTAAGACATTTTTCATGAGTTAGAAAAGAGAAATGACCTTAATTTTTTACACAACTCTACATTCATTAATTTTCCTTTGGCTTAGTCCCTTTAGTTATCAGGGGTCGCCACAGCGGAATGAACCGACAACTTATCCAGCATATGCTTTACACAGTGGATGCCCTTCCAGCTGCAACCCAGTACTGGGAAACACTCATTCACACACACACTCACACATTACGGCCAATTTAGTCCATATAATTCACCTATAGCGCATGTGTTTGGACTGTGGGGGAGACCGGAGCACCCGGAGGAAACCCACATGAACACGGGGTAAACTTGCAAACTGCACGCAGTAATGCCAACTGGCCTGGCTGGGACTCAAACCAATGACCTTCTTGCTAGGGCAACAGAGCTAACCACTGAGCCACCCCTTTTTGGGGTATTTTATAAATGGCAATTTACACAGTGACTGCCCTTCCAGCTGCAACCCAGTGCTAGGAAACAGTCATACACACATTACTCCTAATTTAGTCCATTTAATTCCCCTATAGTGCATGTGTTTGGACTGTGGGGGAAACCGGAGCACCCAGAGGAAACCCACGCCAACACGGGGAAAACATGCCAACTCCACACAGAAATGCCAATTGGCCCAGCCGGGACTCGAATCAGCGACCTTTTTGCTGTGAGGTGACAGTGCTAACCACTGAGCCCCCCCTTTTTGAGGCATTTTATAAATGGTATTTTTATGAATATGCATGCATATTTACCAACAAAATTCAGCCACAAAAGAGCAAGGAATGTGAAGAGATCTTTATTTTTTACACAACTCTACATCATAATAAAAAAATAAATAAATCCTAACACTATAAGCCTCTGCTTAATTGGCTGGAATTCAAATACAAGCAATGTTAATTAAAGCTACTTAAAATATATAAAATAACAAAAATAATGTATAATTTGATAATCTTGACACACAAAACTTGGTTAAATTTTCAGGCATCAAAACATTAAAAGTGTCACTCATTTCATTTCAGTACATTAGATTGTGAAAAATAAGTTTTATGTATAATTGATCCTGTCTAATGTTAACATCACATGATGCTCTGTTATACTTAACATGAATAATAAACGCAAACTGTACCTTGTAACACAGGGTTGCCAGATTGGATGGAGACTCCTCTCTCACAGCACGGATCTCAGCAGCAGGAACAAGTGTGAAAATATCCTGTGCCATCAAGTCGATGTCATTCCAGAACTGATCCCAGAACACATCCTCAGAGGCCTCCACAGGCTGTAAAACACAATAAATAATTTAATAAATTATTTACTAATAAAAAATAAACTAATGAATAAACATTTTGAAATGAATAACATTAAATACTGTATGCCAAGATGAGATTAAGGAATATTTTTGCACGCGCACACACACAAACTTATTTTAATGCTATCTATATTGTTTACCATGTTACTTTGTATATTCGGTCTGAAATAGGGTAGCATGTAAGTAAGACTCCATAACAAAATTAGCACTATTTAAATGACCACAATGTTGTACTTTGATAGTGACTGGCTGGAAATATGATTAAAATAATAACAATAATAACATAAATAATTATGAAAGTCTGAATAAGCGAATATAAAACTACCTGTGCCACAATATAAAACTAACTGTGCCTTAATCTTGCCCTTTAATTTGTATTTATTGTCATTAAAAACATTCATTCATTCATTTTCTTGTCGGCTTAGTCCCTTTATTAATCCGGGGTCACCACAGCGGAATGAACCGCCAACAAAACAATAAAAATATAAACGTGTATTCCTTTAATTTGACGAGATATTGTTACAAGAAAGGATATTAACTTAATTATGGAAATTATTACATTTTATCCCTAATAAACAAGACTTTTTGCTGGTAACATGTATACAATCAGTTAAAACTGGCTAAAAATTACCCCACACAACTGTCACGTGAATAAAGTTATATGCATAAATTTAAATAATTTAACAAAACATATAAAACTAATAATTAAATGCTTAACATTTGACGTAAACTTTAAATTAAAAATCGTTCATTTCCAAACAAGTGTATGAAGTTATATAAACAACATTAGCCTTACAGATCACTAAATGACATCACGCAACGGTATTCCAGCTGTTACACTTCAACAGCGCTTTAAAACCTGCTGAACTCTAAACACATAGTGATATTAAGTCACTAATGTTGATGAAAGTAAACCTGACCTGTGTTTTTGTGGTAAGTTGTATCACCGCTTTTCTGAAGCGCAGTTTGGAGTCTGAATTACCCATATCTTGTGTCTACATCCACCGCGCACCTGCGGCGCCAGGTGAACACGACGCTAAATTACCAATCCTACTACGGAAAAGGTTTAGCTCATGAATATTAATCACGCCACACAGACGTCGACGTTATCCTGGCCAGCGCGTCCAATCATGTAATGTATTCATTTTGTAAATTCTTTCATTCGCCAGCCGTCTGTCTCTTTAGCCAATCAGCGACAAAATATATATCACACGTCACTTTACGTCATGAATATGCATGAGGTAGTTTTAGCAGTAGTAGGAATCGTTTGCTCGTGACCAGGATGCTGGCATTCTTGGTTTCCTGGTGTGCAAATTAAATATTTGCTCAAAGATTACTCTTTAAAGGTTGAGTGGCTTACGCATATTGTGAATTAATGCTAAGCTGTTACTTTAGAGGCGTGGCTAATATTGAATACAATGGACCGGGCGTCCTCAGAATAACTCGTTTCATTTAGTGCTGTACTCCATTTAGACCTGAAAAATGATTCAAGTTTCAGAATTTTCCTATCATAAATGAGACAAAATGAAAATGTTAACAATCTTTAATTGATTTTTTATCCCTTTCAATGGACACAGTTGGGTTTCCTCCTTATGCTCTGGTTTCAAACACATGCGCTATAGGGGAATTGATGAACTAAATTGTCGCTAGTCAGGTCTGTAGCCAGCCTGATAGAAGGGGTTCTTCATTCTTAAAAAGTGAACCTGAGTTATTCGCCCATTTTAGTGACATTTAGCACTATTTTTTAGCTGAATTAGCTTGTCTGATGGTCTTCATAACCACACTTTTTCAGGTACCAAAAATATTTCCTATTAAAATAGGAAAAAATATAATAAAGAAATGTGAATAAATACTTATTTTAAAAATACAATCATATCATTAGAAAAAAATGTAAACTTAAAGTTTTATATAAAAAGAAACTGTAGTCTATTGTCATTTATTAAGCAAACAACAAACAGCACATTAAACTACTCAGTCAGAATTAGGCAATTGAATAAATAACGATTAAGACATAATAAGAGTAGTAATAATAATGATAATAACAATATTAATAATAATGTAGAGCTTCACAATTTTTCTAGCCTCTCTTGTAAAAATATACATTTGAAAGTTCATGCATAACAACAATAGCCAAAATAGTATTCAAATCAGTTTCAGTATATGGTCCGCTTATATTCACTCCTTTTTATAGCTCTTTTTTTTTTTTTTAAACATAAGGTCCAAGCTTTAGAATAAAAGTTACCTGTAAAATGTTTTCTCTGTTTAAAAATAATGCAGTAGTGAAAGATGACTTCACTTACGTCAGATTGTAGAATGAAAATATTTGATAGGATCACCCTGCTGGATCTACGACACCCAACCTGCCCCAGACTGGTATCGAACCAGCAACTTTCCGAATGGGAGTCAGTTGCTCTAACAAGAAGGCTAAAGACCTCTATTGTCTGTTGCTAGAGCACCTTTAGAGTTTAGAGGAATGAGGTTTACCTGCACAGCATTTACTAGCTGGCCTCCTTTACATTAGCGTTGTCCAAAACTGATTAGCTGAAGTCACAAAGCGACAGCCAACAGAGGATTCTGCTTGGTCTTAAAGCCTTCTTTGATGTGTTATTTTCACTATTTATGATAACATAGCAGTCAAAATTAGACAAATGAGCTGTATGAAACAAATTCTTTGTGAGTAAGGGGTGGGTGGAATGAACTGCCAACTTATCCAGCATATGTTTTTCGCAGCAGATGCCCTTCCAGCTGAATTATCCATTCACACTCATTCACAGTTGTCTTTGATGAGCATAAATATACTTAAAGGCAACCTTTTAAAACAGCATGCTTGTTTATACTGTACATTTTTATAGTTTTATTTTTGTACTTTTTTTTCTACAGCCAAAACTCCTGACAAAAAGTCTCGTTGCCTATCTATGTTTTAGGAACAGCAAATAATAACTTTACTTCTAGTTGATCATTTGGTATCATAAGTGGCTTATATGAAAGCTAAAGGCCTCAAGATTACACTTATTTGAGCACAATAAAATATGATCATGCCTTTGATGATTTGATTAGGACAGTGCGGTCTGACTCTGCTTAGACTAAAGTCTCATCACTGAACAGAAATAATGTCCAGTATAGAATATAAAGTCCTGCTGCAGTGGAGACAGAATGAATATTGTGTCTGACTCCATCATGAGCTTGGAGGACTGCATCCATACATCTCTGACATGACTCACATCACTGATTAATAAAGTCATCTGGAATGAAGAAGAAAGCCTTCAGCAGGACTCCCAGAGTTCATCAAGACTATTTGTGTTCATCTTCAATGCCTCCTCCTTCATCTTACCCCTGACATGCTCAATAATGTTCATGTCTGGTGATTGGGCTGGCCAATCCTGGAGCAGCTTGACCTTCTTTGCTTTCAGGAGCTTTGATGTGGAGGCTGAAGTATGAGCAGGAGCGCTATCCTGCTGGAGAATTGTCCCTCTCCTGTGGTTTGTAATGTAATGGGCAGCACAAATGTCTTGATACCTCAGGCTGTTGATGTTGATCATCCACTCTGCAGATTTTTTGCACACCCCCATACTGAATGTAACCCCAAACCATGATTTTTCCTTCATCAAACTTGACTGATTTCGAAGAGAATCTTGTCTCCATGTGGCTTCCAGTAGGTCTTCTGCTGTGTTTGTGATGATTGGGATGCAAGTTATTTTTGTTGCCCTTATAACTGGGATCGGTCACAAGACTTTTGTCAGGTAGTTTATTTATATATATATTATAAAATATTTTATAGTTGCTTCTATTTTCTATTGCATAACATCAATTTCTCCATCGTGTAGATTCTATTGTTATATTATTACTTTATTTTGTTATTGTTGTTACTAATTCAATGGCACGAGTGGTACTGTAAGCATTTTACTGTGTATGACTCTGTATGCACCAAATGCAAGGTATTCATTAATTTTCGTTTCGGCTTAGTCCCTTATTTATTAGGGGTTGCCACAGTGGAATGAACCGACCAATTCAGCTTCAAGTCCCCTATAGCGCATGTGTTTGGATTGTGGGGGAAACCGGAGCATCTGGAGGAAACCCACGGTAACATGGGGAGAACATGCAAACTCCACACAGAAATGCCAACTGACTCAGCCGGGACTCAAACCAGTGACCTTCTTGCTGTGAGGCCACAGTGCTAACCACTGAGCCACCGTGCCGCATAATAAAATTGTAATTGGATTTTCATCAGTTACATTTTTTTTTTTTTATAAAACATATTTCTAGAAGAAATAATCTAGAAGAAAAATGTTTCTTGAGCATCAGTTCAGCAAATTGGAAATGTTTCTAGGTTGATGCAGCCATGAACGCACAAACTGTTGGAAACTCTACATGCTCTATAAGACATTGTAAAAATGATGTCCATGCAGAATAAATAAAGCACAAAACAAACAGTATTTTTCCCTATTCCCAGTTTTATTCATTTTTTTGGTTGTTAGTTCACACACAGTCCCAATAAGTCATTTTAGATCAAAAAAGAAGGAAGAAGAAAGAAAAAACGCAGTCCAAACTAAATAATAAAAAGCTCATTAGCTACAGTTACGTAAAATGAAAGAATCACAGACAGTTGGAAATCAATATGATGTTTCTAAACCAAAAATACCTTTAGCAGGAGCACATCAATTTAATCTAAAGCATTTCTTTTAGTTAAAAGCCATTTTAAAATCTCACTAAGCACAAACTGTCAGCAGATAGCGTATATAATGTTGCACTCGATTCAGTTCTAATCATTAATGCAGAGGTTTGAAAGAAGAAAAGAAAAGGTCATCAGATTATGCTGATCATTTTCATCAGCGCTTCAGGGAGAAGTCTTCTCAAGCGCAGTCTGAACAGCCTTCCAACTTCAGAAAGTTACTGATCAGAAGTTTAGGAATTTCCTTAAAAAGAGGGAAACAAAAGAAATTCACAGCAGCTTAGAAATGTTTAAAATGCTTGTTCGTGATTAGTTGTGAAAGAAATAATTAAATATTCACTTAAAGTTTAAGAAAGAGAAGATATATTCTCATAAAGTGTTGGACTTTCATACCTTGTCTCCAATCTCGCAGGGACAGGAATCATCTTTGTTTTTGATGTACTCAAACAGCTTACTGAATGTAGCTTTTTCAAGATCAGCCTGTAAAAGTTCAGACAAATAAGCATGCTTTACTTTTAATGTAATACGATGTAGACTTGGCAAATACAGTTAAAGCTCACTGATGACAAACTCCTACCGTAGAAATGAACGTCAGCCAGGCAGCTGAGAATTGATCTGAGAGGTAAATGCCTCTGTCAGGGTCGTTCTGAACGCTTCTGTTCTGGTTAGCAGAGTCACATGAAGCCACTCCATAGACTGGAGAGGACATATACACATTAGATTTTTCAATGCCTCTCAGTTAATTAATTAATTAATTTTATTACTTTTTCATTAAATAAATTATGGACAACTTTTTTAAAAAGTGCCATCTCACCATGGATGTTTGTATAAAGGCCTTTGAACACTGACTGAGAGTTATCGCTGTCCATGAAGATCACCATCTGCAAAAAATACAGAGATTAATAGTGTTTTCTATATCATTACAGAAAACATTAGCCCCCACTTAAAAGCTTTGTGGATGTTAAAAGCAAGAATATACACCAGGCCTGAATTAGCTTTCAGATTACAAGCTGGAATTTATTCTGTGATGTGGAAAAGGCCATGACTGACAGCAAATAATCAGTTTCATTTGTCATATAATAAAAAATAACTGTACAAATGGTGCTAAAAATATTCAATCTTCAGTCAAGATTCACTGAATACGTACCTTTGAGTATTTCTTATTGTCAGACATAGTGTTTATTGTTGTTGTGAACTGATGTGCATCAAGCTGTCATAAAAATACAGAATTAATCATCTAGAAGTGAACAAGCAGTCCAATTAAACACAATCCCAATATCATTTATAACATTTCTAGTTGTAGTGAGGGTAACCTTTGTATTGTACCATGAAAATATTTACAGTTGCTTGTTCAGATTGATAATGCCGT